CCACATGAGGAATCATCATCATCACACATCATCTAACACTATATCATCAATCACTTTATCTCGGCTATTCATGTATTTTTCTTGGTAGTCCCCAACTTACAATAATTCATTTAGTGACCGTTCAAAGTTGCAACCACACTGAAAGAAATTGACTTATGACCATTTCCCACAAACCATTATAGCATCCCCATGGTCATGGGATAAAAATTCAGATGTTTGGCAACTGATTTCTTATGACTGTTGCAGTGTCTGGTCGTTGTCATGAGATCACCATTTGCGACCTACTGAGTCAATGGGGAAACCAGATTCATTTAACAACCGTGTTACTAATTTATGAACTGCAGGGATTCACTTAACAATTGCGGCAAGAAAAGTCGTAAAATGGGGCAAAACTCACTTAACAACTGCCTATATTGAGTGAGATCTCGCCGAAGCGTTGCCAAGACAATCTCAATCTTACATGGGAAAAGACCTGAATACAACAAGACCAGCATACCTACACCCATGAATGAATGTATGTATGTATGTATGTATGTATGTATGTATGTATGTATGTATATGTGTGTGTGTGTGTGTGTGCGCGCGTATGTATATGTATGTATATATGTGTGTGTGTAAATTAATTATATATATATATCACAAGATTACACACACACACACACACATGCACACATGCTACCTGTGAAATCTTGTTGTAATCTAATTTCAACATTCTTTAGTTATGAGATGAGTTATTTTACTTTGGTTTCAGTTAAGAGTTATCAAGATTCCCTTGCTGATTAGACGCAATGCTAGAACAGGGGGAGTGAATGTAAATCTGAAGTTTAAATTAGCCCACGGTCTACAAGGACCAGGATGTATACACAAATTACAACAGGGTTTTCAAACTATGTTCTGCAGAATCCTAGAGTTCCATAAAAGAATAAGGGAGAAAAGGACAGTTCAGTTCAGATGCAGCCAAGGGTGGCCAAGGTATAGCGGGGCTTGTCATACGACATTCAAAAGCTTCACTCTCACAGTTTCAGTGGCTCAGGATGTGACATCATTCTGAATGAGCCTGAAAGATAGGCAGTGGCAGGGTGAAAATGATTGCCACAATTTTTCCCTTGGAAAATGCCCTTAGCCATGCAGCTATAATTGCCTTTGGGTGAATGCGTATCCTGCCATCTGCAAAGGAATCTTGTCCCAGCTCTGTCTCTTTCCCCCCTCCCCTGAAAAAGGTGAAATGGAAGTTTTGGGGGTGAATCTGTATGATTCAGATAACTTCAGTGTTACCTCAATTAGAGTGAGCACAAATTTGATGGATTAATTTGATTTTTTTATTAATTTGATTAATAAATAAGTTTCATTTTATTTCCCATTTCCTATCACTAGAGGTTTGCTCTTTGATCAGAATTTCAGGAATTTAATTTTTTTAATTAACAGGATCCATAGCCTAAACAAGTTTGAAAATCTCATAACACTACATAACAAATTTGTAGCACACTTTGTCGTATTTAATATGAGTAGCATTTTAACATTTTTGCTTTACTAGTGCAGTACAGTTATTGCACAAAACACTGAAATCCTCCTGGAGTTTCACTTTATAGACTTGCAATTTATTATCAGGAAGGCCAAAAAATGAACCAATCACCATATCTTTTCAACCTCCCCTCTCTCTCCCTCCCTCCTCCCCCTCTTCCTTTCTTCCCGGATTCAAGTATTTAGTAATGTTTCTGCTCCCATTCATAGAGAAGGAGAGAGGGAAGTGAGGAGAAAGAAAAAGGAAGTTAGGATTTTAACATCATTTGTTTGATTAGGTTACCATCCTATAAGGTAGTATTTCCCAGCCTTTCAGATATATTGGACTTTGAGTCCCATAATCCTTTTCCAACCTGAGGGCAACAGAATGGGATAGGCTTCTAGAAATACTTTCTCATGATGATGCAGTCAGCTTTCCTATTAATTCGCTTTTCTTCTGCTTCTCTTTTAAGAAGGTCAGGAGACAAGATAATTAACTGCCTTTCTGTTTTTTAAAAACATTATAATAACCCTAAGCGGTTGGTTAGATTGAAAGAATAGTGGCTAAAGGTGGTTCAGGGTTAACCAATTTTTTTTTCAGAAGGTGGAAAGTTGAATCTTCATTTCCCGAAATTGGCTGGTTATTTTGACCACTAGACCACACAGGCATTTGATGTGAGTTAAGTTGTGCTATCCTTTGATTGCTAGTTTTATGTAAGTCCAAATCAATTTGGCTGAGGGATTTTTTCTTCCATTCATGCCCTCCTCTAGAAATGGAACAAAATTGAGAACCTAAAATTGGGACAAAATGATTATTGATTGGCGGCAATAATTCTAAAGGGTGGAAAGAAATGAAAAATTCAGCTCTCATTTTCCTTGTGACCCTTTTGATCTTTACATGAGTCTGTGTTTACATGAATAAACCAATTGCACTAAACCTCTGTTACATTTATCTTATTTTTTAAAAGATTTGATTCATTTAACTAAATTAATCTTCCTAAATACTTTTATTTTATTTTTTAGCAGGAGGAATTAGAATGATTTGCAGAATTCAATATAAAATCATAATTTTGAAATAAATGCAGAAACAATCTGGCAGTTTAGTAAACCCAGTATAAAGAAGTGTACATTGTCAGGAATTAAACCATACTGAAGTTGCTTAAATCTGACAAGAAAAGATAATGTTGATAGGTGCCAAATGGACATCACAGTTGGCCTCTAAGGTGAACCCTTTGAAAGTACACATGCTGTAAATTGGGATGAAGGGTGTATGTGTGTTTGTCTGGGCCAGCTTTTCTTTGAATCTTCTGTCTCAATTAAATTTTTAGATAGTGGATTGGAGAACTTTACAGTAGTCTGAGTGACACTAAACTACAATTTCAGCTTTTAGTCAGGCTATAGGTGTTATAGGTGGCTGGTCTTTTAGAGCTCAGAGCAGCACAATACTAGATAGTGGGGAACATAAATATTGGGGGAGGGATATATAATTAGTTCATTTCCAACTTAAGAAACATCTGGTTGGTTATCCCAGGACAGGATGCTGGTTTAGATAAGCCTTTGATTTGATCTAATATTCTTGTCCAGTTCCTGATAGTATTGGAGATTTAAATGAGTCGAAATTAAGGGCTGCGTTTAGCACAATGAAATTCAGTTCTGAATGAGATTTGGGTTCAGAAACGAATGCAATAGGAAGAATCAATCTAGATTTCCAACGGAAGATTTTCAAGGAATAGTACAATTGTAGGCTAAGTTGGAAGTGAAAAACAGCCTCCGAAGACAAATCATTTCCATACTGCTACCAAGTAAACTACATAGCTGTGCCCACAAAATTACCAGGAATTGAACTTCATTCAAGATTTTATTCCTTCTTATCTTATTACCAGTGTTCCTTTGGTCTGTCTCTTAACAGCAGGCAATATCTGTGACTTTATACTCTGCTGCATGATGAAGTAGGTCAAATTTTCCATTCACACCCAGCACAGGGACCTGTATCACATCTATTCTGGCAAATTGTCTTTTGTTGTGACTG